ATCATATTCAATTTCAAAATTAGGGTTCTTCATGAATTTAATCCCAATTTAATTCTAACTTTTAAAATTAAATTGATCATCATACATAAAACATTTTTATGCATAAATCAATCCGATTAAAATTATGAATCATAAAATAAACCGAATTAAATCAAAATCAAGCACAAAAATCATATTTTAGAGCTAGGATTTTCAAAAAATTCGAAATTTAGGGTTAGGGGGTTCGAAATTTTCGAACATATTAGGGCTAAAACCGGTCATCTTCATGGCTATTTGAGCATAATTAAATCACATTTAATCGATTCTAAAAGTTTAATCACATTAAAATAATAATTGAACCATAACTAAATTAATCTCCCTCTTAATTGAATTAAAATTGTGGACTATCAAAGAATTATAGTCAATATGCGTAAATGCAATAGGCTAATTGATACCACTGTAGGGAATTATAGGTACTACGCAGCGGAAAAAACATGAATCATATTCACACAGTACCTAATCTCAAGATCTAATGCATAACACATAAAGAACATATAATCGTACCTTTGAAGCGTGATTCCACATGCGATCGAGCAAGAACAATGGGAGATAAAGAACCCCAAGCGTGATTCCTCTACTTGGTCCACGGGCACAGATTAAGACCTCCACTAATGCTAGTTAGTTGCAATTGAACCCTTCAATTGACCTTCTATGGAGAAGTGCCAGCAACGAACCACCATGAACCACCACGAACCACCACACGCGCCACCAAGGTGGCCGGCCGTACGGACGAGGGGAGGAGAGAGAAAGTCGTGAGTTAGAGAGAGGAATTAGGGTCTTTTGGGATTGGTTGCCTTGATGTCAAAATTCACTGTGTGTGAATTATGACTCTTACATGCAACCCTAGGCATGGATCTTATTTATAGATCTCATCTATAAATAAGAGCCCATGTTAAAAGCCCAAAACTTATTTCCAATCTCACTATGCTAGCCCAATCCATTTCATGGTTAGTTAAATGCTCATGAGGCCCATTAATGGGCCTCTAACTTGCTTAACCCAATACCCTTGTGTGTGACCTCATAGGATCCATTCTAGCGGGTTTTGAACTATTTGACTAGTCCAAAGATCATCTCTCATAGTCTAGCAACAGATGATGACGCCCCAAGAGAACGAACTTATTATCTCCATAATAGTGATCCTTGATATATCTAGTAATTGCACTTATCGAAGATACAACTCCTTCACATGGGGTATTAGTCGTGCACTTTTCTAGAGGTCTTCTGATCTACGAGTCTCTTATTTCAAATACTTTTCAAAAACTAGGAGTTAGATGAGATCTCATACTAGCTACAGTCACGGAGTTGCGCCCGTGGTCGTTGGATGTTTTATGATGTTTCCGAAAGGAGGCATGTGGTTTTTCTTTTTATTGATGTTCCAAATGGAACATGCGCGGGATGGACAACCTTGTCTATTGCTTAATCGAATGAATAAAAGGAAATGATTTAACTCTATTAACTAGTGAAGTCTTAGTAAACTGACAATTGAGTCGTGTGTTGAGTCTATAATTTAATGACGCGTGATGATTGATTATTAGTAGCATGATAGGGATTTCTTATTATATTTCGCAGCTTGTATGTACTCAGCTTTGCTGATTGCGTGCTTTGTGTGTCTTTCTTTGGTCATGGCCTTCGCCTTTTAATGACCCTGTGACGATCCAATTTTTACACTTGTAATATTGGGGAGCAGATTTACCACAGGTTCTTACACATGCAGCATTCGCATCTAGGTGGTGGGATTTTGAGTGGAGTTTGGTTGCTTTTCACAATTTATTTTGCTACTTACTTTGAATTTATTTAAACTCGGTTACACTTTTATGCTACTTTTATTATTTTGGGCTTTGAATAAGGGTCTTAATGGTTCCAAGTTGTAAGACTTACTTTGGTTTTGTTTGTTGGTACAGGTTTTGAAACTTATTTATAATTGAATTAGTTTTTCCGCTACCAATTTCTGATATAGCCTTAACGTTTGAACACGTGGCAATAGCACATCAGTAATTCTCTTGGATTTTGTTCAGGGTTCTCACAGGTTTAAAGAGAGAATTATTGGGGTGTTACAATTGGTAAGCATATAAATTAGGGCTAATAACCCTTCAATGGATCATTAGTCGAATCCCAAACCTTCATCATAGTTCTGTTAAAGCTTTAACATTATACGGATGAGACGTATAGAGACTCCTGATTAGCAATAGGTCAATGTTTTCAATCAAATCACCATATTCAACCTTTCCTAAATCAATTAAACCTCCTCCATCATCATCCATACGGAGAGTCAAACACTTCTGAATCAATTCATCGGCCATCGTCGAAGCAAACACGGTCGTGACGAAGGAAATCGCTCGCGGAGAAGGGACGTCTTTCTTTCGAGGAACAAGGCCCTTCCTTTCAAGGGAGTTTATTGCTTAATTTAAGATTTGAATCAATCAATAATAATAACTATATACTAAAAGACACACCAACAATAACACGTGTCGTTTTTTGGTGTGTCCTTAGGTTTTTATTTTTTAATTTTTTTTTTTAATTTGAAAGCTTATTTTGGGTAAAAATTTCTAATGAAGTTAAAAAATAGTTAACTAAAATGTAATAGCCATAATGATAGCAAAATAATTATAACAAGAATTTATGTACTCGCAAATCAATCATAGCAAGAGTATTTTTTTTCTTTTCCAACAATATTCTCTACTTTTTATACTGTATTTAGGGCCTGTTCACATTTACTGAACTGAGCTGAACTGAACTGATTGGAGCTGAACTGAACTGATTGGAGCTAAACTGAGCTGAAATGAATATTTTATGAGAGAGGGATATTAAGAGCTGAACTGAACTGGACTGAATTGAACTGATTAGAGCTGAGCTGAACTGATTAGAGCTGAACTGAACTGAAATTAAGTAAATGTGAACAGACCCTTAGGCTAGATCATATTTAATTGTTTCTTAGTTAAAAAATATTAATTGACAAAATAATCAAATACTAAATTTTTTTTTTTAAAATTCAAATAATCATAAAACGTATTCCAGTCTAGTTTAATTGCACTCTAATATTTTAATTTAAGCAAAACAATATGTATATCTTCAATAATTTCTAAGTAAAAATTATAAACACTTTTTTAATGGTAACTTTGATGACTTAAAATATTGAGTATAGTATTCCCTCCGTCCCTTAATACAAAGCTTCTTTTTAGCATTTATTACTTATATAATAAAGAGAAGGAAACTTTCACATTTGCTACCAGGGAAAGCATCCGTGTTCACATTTGCTACCCCTTTAATTTTTTTATTTTATATTACTACCACACAAACACACTAACTGTTAAAATCACTACTACTTAACGGAATCCGTTAGGATTTCCGTTGAGTTTATTAAAAAAAAATTAAAAATTAAAAAAAAAATTAAAAATATAAAAATAAAAACAAGCCACCCAAAAAACCCTAGCCCTCCCCGTCTTCCACCCTCCCATTTCCCACTGCTGGCGGCCAGTGCCCAAAGATGCGGCAGCCGGCGTCAGAATCGAACCCCTCCCCTTCCCCACCCAAAACCGACAACCCTAACCCTTATTTCCCTACCCGAAACCACCCTAAACGTGTTTTAGGGTTTCGCTTAGGGTGGTTTTGGGTGGCAAGGAATTCCTTCGTCGCGGCCAGAAAAGGGAACAGGGGACAAGGAGGGGCTGGGATCGGGTTTTCGAGGGGAAAGGGGCTGGGATCGAGGGGGTTTTTGAGGGGAGAAAGGGGCTAGGAACGTAACGCCGGCGCCGACAGGGTGGGTGGTTGGAGTCGCGAGTCGAAGTCGCGGGTCGGGGCTGCGAGAACGGGGAAAGGGAAGGGGGTTCGTTGTGGTGGCTGGTCGGCAGCAAGAAAGGGGTTCGCTGGTGGTTGGTTTGGTCGGAGTCACAGGCAGGGAGTCACGGACGGTTGGCTGGACGATGAGTGGTGGTTGCGGTGGTTTGATGTTGAACAACGGCGTTGGATTAACAGCTGGTGGGTGAGAATAAGTGGTGGGTGAGAAGGAGTGGTGGTTGGACGGTGGTTGGGTGGTGGTAACGGAAATAGTAACAGTGTCTGTCAAGTGGTAGTGATTTTTAAAAAACTCTGATTTAGGTGGTAACAATTTAAAATAAAAAATTAAAGCGGTAATAAATGTGAAGCAGAGTCTTTTTGCTGGTAGCAAATGTGAAATTTTCCTAGAGAGAAAGAGGCATTGTATTAACACAAACTTTAAAAAAAATTGGGTGTACAATAATTATTGTACATCCATTTTAAATCTCTCTTAAAGTGATCAAAAGTTACCCCTAAAATGAATAAAAGTAACCCAATACAAATAAAAATAATCTACGTTTTATTGGTAAAGAATCACATTTTAAATGACTAAAATTCAATTATTAGTGATTGAAAGTAATTTTATCACCCTTATAAAACTTTTCTTGTTCGATTTATAAAAAAAATCATGTTGTGTTCAAAGTTACCCAAAAAAAGGCAAAAAGTTATCCTAAATTGGCTTAAAGTTACCCCTATACTGCTCGATGTACACTAATATTAGTGTAAACCGGATGTATACAAAAGTTTTTGTTGTATTAAGGGAGGCAGGAAGTATTAAACTAATGATAAATTATGAAGATTACCGTGTATGACATGCGATCTAACCTACTTAGATTATATTTAAATGCTTATCCAACGCCTCGGAAACATTCATTAATAAAATCTTTAATAAAAATTTGTTGATTTATTTAAAAAAATCATTAAAAACATTTTTTTAACGTGATGTTTGTACTATCCCCTAGATTCCATAAACACCCGACAAAAAAGCTAAAATTCGATCATCTCCATCTTTCCTCTGCTTCTCAGCGTTTACTCTCCGCACCTCTATTCCATTCCCACCATTTTCGGGATTCGATTCTCTCTCCTCCATTTTATACTCCCCATTTCATACAAATCCATTTATCCCAATTCCAAAAAAAAACAGGTGAAGGAGGAGAGACAATGGCGGCGTCAGGTGCCGCATCCGCGGTGGTGATAACAGTGGCGATTATTCCACGGTGCAGCAAGCGGTTGATGCTGTCCCACTTGGTAACACGCGTCGCACCATCATTCATCTGTCACCTGGGGTTTACAGACAGCCTGTTTATGTACCCAAGACCAAGAATTTCATCACTTTTGCGGGCTTGTCTCCTCAACAAACTGTTCTTTCTTGGAATAATACTGCCACTAAAATTGAACATCATCAGGTTTTTTTATTTAATATTTTTTTATTTAATTTTAATTTGGGTTTTTTTTTTTTTGAAATTTTTGTGGTTTTTTTTTTTTTTGGTAATTTTTTTGATTAATTTATGAGCAGGCATCAAGGTTGATTGGAACAGGAACATTTGGATGTGGGAGTGTCATTGTTGAAGGGGAGGATTTTATTGCTGAGAATATTACATTTGAGAATTCTGCACCTCAGGTAACAATTTACTGTTTGTTTCTTTTTTTTTAAAAAAAAATAAATAAATTATGAACTTGTATTCTGAGTTTTGTGGAATTAAGCATGTACGAGTATATGATTGAGGGTCAGCTACAATCAAGGATTTAATGACTGAATTAATTCCGTAATTCCAACAGTCAGAAAAGAATAATCCCAACAGACAAAAAGGAATATTTTGTTTAACAAAGAAAGGGAAATAAAATTTCTCCAAAAAGATAACAAGGACCTACGCCCGCGCATCGCATTCCCCGAGGCCCGAGCCCGACCCGAACCGGCCCGGCACGCTCGCGCGCGTGTGTGTGTGGAGTAACACTTAACTCCCACCCACTCAACTAAGTAGTGATAAAGCACTACAATATAAAAACAAGGAAACACCTCACTCCCCAATCAATGTGAGACTTTTTCTCCTCAATTGTTTTTCTCTCTCACTTTGTTTTTCCCCAACACTCTTGTTTTTATATCAAGAACTTCCAACAATCCCCCACAGGTTCGAAAATATGAAAAAGAGAGAAAGGAAAAATGAATTCTGGGCAAAACAAAACAATTGCATAAGTGTCAATGTCTCGCGACTTGAATTAACACATAGTGGACATCAAGCTATGATCCCTTACCTACCAAGTGACCTTCGTCTTGAACTCAATAGGGAGTTAGGGACCCGTCACTTTGAGCCACACAATTGAACATGTATAATATTCTGAAATTTCGCGAATAAAGGTGACGCATTATAGTGGCCATACGTCCACCCTGGATGCTCATAGGTGCTCTAGAGTATAAGCTCACGAAATACTCATAGGAAGCGGCCACACTTCCACACCTAAGTAGGTGAACTCCATCAAGTGTGAGCTACAACACACCTCCAAAAATATGGATATGGGTTCATTAAGAGCCGTATGCTCAACCTCCTTCTCATATGTAGCTAAGCACAAAACAAACATCTAGAGATGGACAAATAAAATAAAAATGTGCTTCCGAATGATACATAATGTTCCCCTTTGAACTCATAGTAAGTAGGAGTTCATTATTTCACTATTCATACAACGGGCTTTAGCCCCATCTCTTCCGATGTTTCCAAAACTAGTTTTTTACATAGGCCTTTAGTTAACGGATCCGCAATGTTCTTTTCGGACTTAACATAGTCCAGTGATATCACCCCTTCAGACAACAAATTTCTGACGGCTTTATGCCTCATACAGATGTGTCTCTTCTTCCCATTATAGGCATGGTTGTGTGCAACAGCAATAGCAGCTTGCGAATCACTATGAAGTGCAACTGAAGGAGCTGGCTTCTCCCATAGTGGAATATCTGCAAGCATGTTCCTCAACCATTCTGCCTCATGACCTGCCAATTCAAGAGCAATAAACTCAGATTCCATAGTAGACATAGCAGTACAAGATTGCTTACAAGATTTCCAGGATACGGCTCCACCCCCAAGGGTGAAGACATAACCACTAGTGGAGTTAACTTCATCATTATCGGATACCCAGTTGGCATCACAAAAACCCTCTAAAACTCCAGGAAATTTGGAGTAGTGCAAACCCCAATCCATAGTACCCTTAAGGTACCTGAGCAACCTCCTTAGAGCAATCCAATGATCACTGCTTTTGGATTATGAGTGTACCTGCTCAACCTACTAACAGAATAAGCAATGTCAGGTCTAGTGTAGTTCATAAGAAACATAACACTACCAATAATTCTAGCATATTCAGACTGATTAACTGGATTACCATTATTTTTCTTTAGGTGGAAACTTGGGTCATAGGGAGTCTTAACTGGATCGACATTAAATGAGTCAAACTTTTTAAGAAGTTTTTCAACAGTGTGACTGATTAAGACAGATGCCATTTGGAGTCCTTTTGATTTTAACTCCCAAAATCACATCTGCCTCACCCATATCTTTCATTTTAAAATTCGAACTCAAAAACTGTTTTGTCTCATTTACACGATCCAAGTTAGTCCCAAAAATCAACATATCATCCACATAAAGACAAATAATTACACAACCATGACTATCATGCTTAAAATAAACACAAGAGTCACCTTCATTAACATGAAAACCATTACCAGTCATAGTTTTATCGAATTTGTCATGCCATTGCTTTGGAGCTTGTTTAAGCCCATACAATGACTTGACTAACTTACAAACCTTTTCCTCTTGTCCTGGAACAACGAACCCTTCAGGTTGGACCATGTAAATCTCCTCATCCAAGTCACCATTCAAAAATGCAGTTTTGACATCCATTTGATGAACAACAAAATAAAAAATGCAAGCAAGAGCAATTAAAGTCCTAATGGTTGCAATTTTAGTAACAGGGGAGTAAGTATCAAAATAATCAATGCCAAACTTTTGAGTAAAACCCCTTACCACTATCCTTGCCTTATACTTGTCTATGGATCCATCGGCCTTTAACTTTTTCCGAAAGATCCATTTACAAGCAATGGGCTTACAACCTCTAGGAAGTTCAACCAATTCCCAAGTGTTATTATTGAGAATTGATTGTAACTCACTATCAATTGCTTCTTTCTAAAAAAAACAGCATCAACTGACCTCATTGCCTCATCATAGGTTCTTGGATCATCTTCCAAAACAAAAATATGCACAAAATCATCATCAATTAAGGAAGATTAAGATAAATAGGAAGTAATAAAATCAGGACCAAAACTGTTTTCCTTTCTTGCCCTTTTGCTTCTCCTTGGCTCCAAAACAGAATCATCGTTAGTAATAGGAGCATTAGCAATAGGTAAACTAACAGAACTACTAGCATGCAATTCACTATCATTAGAAGGAGACATTTTCAAAGGAAAAATGTTCTCAAAGAACTCAGCATCTCTTGCTTCAATGATATGACCACCTGCATAAGAGTTAGCACCTTTAACAAAGAAACGATAAGCTGCACTTTGATAAGCATAGCCAATAAAAATAGCATCAACAGTTTTGGGACCAATTTTATCCCTCTTGAAACTAGGTATGCCTACTTTTGCTAGGCACCCCCACACTTTCAAGTATTTCAGGTTTGGCACTCGACCCTTCCATATTTCGTATGGAGTCTTGTCAAGCTTCTTGTGAGGAACCCTGTTCAAAACATGACAAGCAGAAAGAATAGCCTCCCCCCACATGTTATTAGGAAGCCCAGAACTAATAAGCATAGAATTCATCATATTCTTTAAAGTTCTATTTTTCCTTTCAGCTATACCGTTTTGTTCGGGTGAATAGGGAGCCGTCGTCTCATGAACAATGCCAAGTTGCTCACAAAATGCCTTAAGAGTGTCAGGGCTGTACTCACCACCCCTGTCACTCCTAACCCTCTTGATCTTTTTGTCCAACTGGTTTTCTACCTCAGCTTTATATTTGAGGAACATTTCCTAGAAGATAAACCATGCAAAAACGTGAACAATCATCAACAAAAGTAATATAATACTTTTTACCCCCTCTACTTTCGTGATTATTAAAATCACCTAAGTCACTATGAACAAGTTCTAGTACTTCAGTCTGTCTATCTACTGATTTAAATGGCTTCTTAGTAAATTTGGCTTCAAACACAAACTTGACATTTCGAAAAATCAGTGTTAGAAAAACTTGGAATCAAATTTAAGTGTTTAAGCCTTTTAACAGAATCAATATTAACGTGACCTAATCTAGCATGCCATAAATCAATAGACTCTGCAATATAAGCAGAAGAAGTACTAGCATTCTTATTCATAGTGACAACTTTAACATCAAGAGTAAAAAACCCCCCATTACAAAAGCCCTTCCCCACAAATTCCCCATTGCGAGTAAGAACTAATCTATCAGAATCAAAGGAGAGGTTCAGTCCACCTTTCATGAGCAAACTGCCAGAAATTAAATTCCTGCGCATTTCTGGAATATGCAAAACATAAGTGAGAGTAAGCAATTTTCCAGAAGTGAGAGTGAGAACAATCTTCCCTTTGCCTTGGATAGAAGCAGAAACTGAGTTGTCCATGAAGACATTTTCACCTTTAACCCCTGTCATAGGTAGTGAACATGTCCTTGTTGGCGCAGATGTGCCTGGTAGCTCCAGTGTCAACAATCCACTCAGCAGCATTACCTGTAAAGTTAGCTTCTAAAACAACAGCAACAATAACGTCAGAATCCTCAATAAGATTTGCTTGACTTTGCCCATTCTTCTTCTTGACCCTGCAATCTTTAGCCCTGTGACCAGTCAAACCACACTCATAACAGATTCCCTTAAACTTGTACTTCTGAATTTTCCCATTAGGCTTAAGGTTACTGTTTTTGGCTTTGGACTGGTTGTTTGATTTGGGTTCAACAAGGTTGGCTTTGGCAGAAGAAGAGGAAGGAAAAATAGAAGGGGTTTTGTCTTTGATACGGTTTTCCTCCTCGATTTTGAGGTGGGCAGCAAGTTCCTCTAAGGTTAGGTCTTTCTTTTTGTGCATGAGTTGGTTACGAAAATCCTTCCAAGAGGGAGGGAGTTTCTCAATCAGAACAATAGCAAGGGTAGTATCACAAATAGACAGACCTTCAGCAGCCATATTAATACAAACACTCTCATAAGTATGAATCTGATCAATAATAGGCTTATCATCAACAACTTGAAAACTTAACCACTTACTAACACAATAACGTTTAGTACCAGCATCATCAGTTCCATATTTTTTCTCTAAAGCATCCCAAATATCCTTAGCATGATAAAAACCCATATAAATATCCAACAGACTATTCGACATATAATGCAACAACATGCCCTTACAGGTTCTATCATCCTTAGCAAACTTAACATCACTTTCAGACAAATTATCCTTATCATCAGGTTCAACAATATCATCAAAAACATATGCAACATCAATTTGCTCCAAATAAAAACGCATCCTAACAGCCCAACGTTTATAATTCTTTCCATCAAGAGGTTCTAACTTAGACATATCAGGAATCAGAAACTTGGAAGCCATATTCGTCTTTTAGATTGTTATACTAATAAGCAACACAACACAATCAGTCTTCTCTCTTCTCTAAAATTATCTAAACACATGTTCTCCTCGTTCTGTTTTCTGGGCAAGTATTCTGAGTTCCAGTCGGGTTTGTGAGTGCACATAAACTCCGGCGCCGTGCTTATCCTGGAGGGCGACCGCAACTGTCTACTGCACCGGGAGGTAGCGCGGAATCGTCTTTTAGGTCAGTGGTTCTCCACGACGCGGCTATTGTCAGTTTGGTTCACGCATCAAGAGATAAGTTAATTATGTTTTATTGCTTATTAGTATAACAGGATGTGTTTATATTTTGTCAAAGTTGAGCTTGCTGAATTGTACATGTATTTGGTTATAAAATGTGAACTTGGAAGAAAAAGAGGAATGAATGTGTTTGAGGTAGAGGTACATGAAATTTATTCAAGGTGAAATACTTTGTGTGTTTTTTTGGATGTTTGTTGTAGGGATCAGGACAAGCGGTGGCGCTTAGGGTGACTGCGGATCGTTGTGCATTTTACAATTGCAGGTTCCTAGGGTGGCAGGTATAGAACACTCTTATTGTTAGAACTGATAAATGTATCTGTAACAATCACTGTTAGTTGATCAAGATGTTATGTCCTTCTCAGAATCTGAAGCTGCAATTATGGTATCGATGGTTCTGTGTTTGTTAGCAACTTAGCATTGTACTACAATGCATTCTAACTATTTAGTGTGATAGCGAATTAAAGAAATGTTGCTCTGCCTATGCTAGCATGTGCTTGAATGCTGTCCTAGTATAAAAAAGTAATCAATTTGATAGCCAAAATTAATAAAGGTCGCTTATCAAATGTGTGCATATTGGTTGCTGTACTGTAGGAATAATCTCAGGAATTCATTCAATTCTACCTCTACTATGTTTATGCTTTTGTAATCAAGGGTCTGTAGAGTTAATACATATTCCATAGGGTTGCAAGACTGAGACTTTTGATAAAAAAAAAAAATAAAGAAAAAAAAAAAAAAAGAAGAGAGCTTTGCATGAAGTTTAGCCAATTGGTAGATTACTGGTCAAGGATACTAAAGATTGTTTCCCCTTTATATAATGGAGTTTTGTTAGAGGCACCAGGTCTGTGCCTTGTAATGGATGCTAGGGTGTGCTTCCTAATACTGATGTAGGGTTAGGGTCACATGAGGCATAGCTGATGAAGTTACTAATTACTTTCTCGGTTCATTGATGATGCCAACTCACTTTATATGATATTTGAAGAATTTATGATGAGACTAGCCAAGTTATTTTTCTTTAAATCTATGCATTCAAAGTTAGTATATGACTAATTGACTAGTGCAATGTCCAATTTCTGTGATGATGAAAGAATGGAACATATTTTTCTTTGGTTAATCATATGTACTTAAGCCCTTAAGGATGTTCAAGGTGGACTATGGATTGAAGATCATTCTAATTAGTATTTTTGCTTCTGAAAATTAGTTTACGTTATCCTTAATTTTGGTTACTTGAAAATACCCATGAAAAATTTATTGCCCTTTTGTGCTTTGTTATCAGGATACTTTGTATTTGCATCATGGGAAGCAGTATTTAAGAGACTGTTATGTTGAAGGAAGTGTAGACTTTATCTTTGGGAATAGTACTGCCTTATTGGAGCATTGCCATATTCACTGCAAGTCAGAAGGTTTTATAACTGCACAAAGCAGGAAGTCATCTCAAGAGACCACTGGTTATGTTTTTCTAAGGTAAACGAGAGGCTTCTTTTAAGTTCATCTGCTTTTCAAATCTGTGTTACACATTGAGATATTAAATAAACATTAATCAAACATTCTTGTCTTGGGTTGAGGTGCATATATCTTCATTTTGTGGCTAGAGCTGATTTATTTTGGCATCTATTTCTTTCAGATTTTTGCATCTCTTTGAAACCCAATTTTAAACCATTGATTAGTCAGATTTATTATTTGGACTTTTGTAAGTCTTGTTGAAAATTAGAATTGTAGTGCGAGGAGAGATTTACTTGTCACTGGGTGATGTAGGATTTACTTTTATTGCTGATACATGTTTGCCTTTTGCTTTTAATGGTAACTATTTTTCTCCCTTGTTCTTTGCTACTTCCTCCGTTTCTTTTAGTTGACTCGTTTCTTTAGTCACGTTTGCCAACACTCAACTTCAACCATTCATATCTTTAATTACCGATAAGCAAAAATTATGAAAATTTGATATTTTGAAAAAATAATCATGACGAATCTAACAAGATCCCACTTGACTATATTTTTCATTATGTATAAACCATAAAAGCTCCATGAAAATGAAAATTGTACTCCATGTGGATAAAAGCTCCATGATTTCAATCCAAAATGAAGTGTCAAGGATTTTCTATGTATGCATGAGTTTCCAAAATCTGAGTAAAATGAAGGGTCTAACTATCTGAGTAACATACTATATAACAATGAAACGTTGCTACTTTAGGCACATGAAATAGTTTGTGAAACGTTTTAGGCAATGTTTCTCTCATTCATTGGAGAAATAGTTTCATAAACATTAGACAATATACATTCCAACATATATCCATGAACTGAACCCATATTTCAGTTTCCAGTTTCCAGTTTCCAGTTTCCCTGGTTCGAAGAAAAATGTTGTAGTCCAGTTGTTAAAAGTAGAAATGAAATTTAATGACAACATATTTTGAATGGGCTACTCACCCTGAACAATATATTGGAGCTGAGGCTTGAAATTTCAATCCAGTTGCTTCAGTTCCCTGCTTAAAATATAATATCAATGATGGTTCTAATTATTGCAACATACTGGTTTATCTCTTATAAGTTTTGCACCATCAAGCTTAACATCACCATCCTGTATATTTTTATAAAAGCGACAGTTTGCAACTTTCTTTTTTTCAGATGTGTGATCACTGGCAATGGGAAGGCATCATACGCATATCTTGGACGGCCATGGGGACCTTTTGGAAGGGTGGTTTATGCCTACACTTACATGGACCAGTGTGTTAGGCATGAGGGTTGGCATAATTGGGGAAAGTGTGAGAATGAAAGAAGTGCTTGCTTTTATGAGTACAGGTATGTCTACTTGCTACATTTATGAGCCTCTGTTTTATACAGATGATAATCTCTTCATATACTTTTATATGGACATTTAGTGAAGTTCATGGGCAAGCTAAGATAGATTTTTACCTTAGTCTAGTTTGTTCAGATACTTAATTCCACTTTTCATTTGACAAGTATGGCTGGAGCTCTTTTATTGTAGTTCTAGCAAAATTTACAAGCTGTGATTATGAATCAAAATTCTGGTTCTGCTACCATAAATTCCCAAACTGTGATGAATGGCATAAGAACCGACAATTTCTTACATAAACTTAGCATTAACAAGATGATATCATTAGTGGCACCATAAAACTCCCTCTTGTCTTCAAATTTTTTCTAGGCGACTCAATTAGTAGGGGGATCATTTATAAGAACTCAACACCTTAACTTATGATCTTCGTGGATATTATTAAGTTTAATACGGGACAAAGTTTGTTTTGCTAAATTAAGAAAGTAGACTGTTTAATTTGAGACATTTTACCATAGAAATGTGGCCTATTATTCAGGGATAGTGGAAGTAAGGGTCTGTTCTGATTTACTGAACTGAATTGTTTATGAGAGAAGGAAATTAGGAACTAAACTGAATTGAAATTAAGCTGAAGAGAACAGGTACTAAGTCTAAGTTTTTTGCTTAAAAAAAAAAACCTTTAATATTCAAATTGGACTAGTGCTTGACCTTTGAAGTTGTAGCCATAGAAGAAGAAACAGTTCCTGATCAAGAATGTGAATTTGCTTGGAATTTACAACTTGTAGGGTTTGCACCTTCTATTATTGGTGGTTTAATTTATACCAAAATACAAATGTCCAAGAGAGAAACTTTTCATTAGTACTTTCAAATAGAACTAATTTTTGGGTGGAAATTTACTAGAGACTAGGAAACCTTTTGTTTGAAATTTGATGCTCCCTCTGATATATGTTGATACTAACGAACAATTTGACATGTTTGTGCATGACAAAGATGTTTCGGACCGGGATGTTGTCAATCAAAGCGGATTGGGTGGGCAAGAGAATTGATGGATGATGAAGCAATGCAATTTCTTGTCCATTCTTACGTGGATCCTGATCCACAAAGGTCGTGGTTAGCCCAGAGAATGGGCATAAGGATACCTTACTCTGCTTAAAGGCGCCTTATTCGCAGTATATATATATTTGGATTGGTGTTATCAGATGAATATATTGGAGGCCCTTGTGAATGAAGTTACTGGATTACTGGGTGGGGAATTTTCAGGAAATAGCTTCTGTAAAGCAGCTGTAGAAGTTGCCCTGTAATATAATGATGATCTGCAGTAGTAGTCATCTGGAATGCAAATAATGTGAACTGAAGTTGTGCCCCTATGAGAAATAGCAAATATATAAAATAAAATATAAAAGCTAATCCCTCTATTTTTATAAGTGTTTTATTTTGATTGGCATATATACCCAAAGCAAAACTTTGACAAATAAATAATCTATCTTACGATACCTTAGTTTCTCAAGTCTTACTCATTTTTCGTTTTATCTGTTTTCTAAAGGCCGTGTTTGGTAATTGTTTTTTCAATGGCTTTTTGGTTAGCTTTTGGTTTTTTTTAGGTGGTCAAACAGCCAAAAAATGTGTTTGGTAATTGGCTTTTTAGTTAGCGAAAAAGCTGGTTTTTAGGCCAAAATGAAAAAGCTGCTTTGAGTAGCTTTTTTGTTGGCTTTTGGCTTGTTGGCCCACAAATTATCTAATAAACAGCCAACAACCAACAATTAATTTACCAAACACTTTGGCCTTGTTTGGCAAATGGCTGTTGGCGGTTGGCTGTTGGTTAGTTCACTTGGCTTGTTTGACCAGCTGGAATGTTTGGCTGTTTATAATGGCTTTTGAAATTGGCTGTTTAAGCTGACTGTTTATAAAAGTGTTTGGTAAATTAATTATTGGTTGTTGGCTGTCTATTAGGTAATTTGTGGGCCAACAAGCCAAAAGCCAACAAAAAAAAGCTACTCAAAGCAGCTTTTTCATTTTGGCTTAAAAGGCAGCTTTTTCGCTAACTAAAAAACCAATTACCAAACACATTTTTTGGCTGTTTGACCACCTAAAAAAACTAAAAGCCAAAAGCTAACCAAAAAGCCATTAAAAAGCCAATTACCAAACATGGCCTTAATAAACAGCCAGGTTAAACAGCCATTATAAACAGCCAAACATTCTAACTGGTCAAACAAGCCAAGTTAACCAGCCAACCGCCAACAACCATTTGCCAAACAAGGCCAAAATCTACTCGCTTTTAGTGTATTCCTTTTATGATAGCGTTTTATTCATTTTTATCGTCCACAAACCTACTTTGTGGTGTCTAAATTTATTTAATAGATTTCTTAATCTCTATCTCTCTTCTTTGATACGAAGTACAAAAATACTCACATGTATGGTCTTCATTTTCACTTAACTTTGATTTGCGTAGCTATAGTCCTACATTAACTAAAACTAAGGGCCTGTTCCGATTGACTGAACTCAGCTGAACTGAACTGAGCTGAACTGAACTGAACTGAACTTATTAATTAGTGATTTTTAACTACAGATTAGTGATCTTTGATTATTTATTGATTATTTATTACTATACATATGTGTATATACAAATGTACATATTAATAATAATAATAATAATAATAATAATAATTATAATAATAATATTATTATTATTATTATTATTATTATTATTGATGATTATTATTATTATTATTTATTGATTATTATTATTATTATTATTATTATTATTATCATTATTATTATTATTATCATTATTATTATTATTATTATTATTATTATTATTGTTGTTGTTGTTGTTGTTATTATTATTATTATTGATGATTATTATTATTATTATTTATTACTTATTGATTATTATTATTATTATTATTGTTGTTGTTGTTGTTGTTGTTGTTGAATAACATTAGACATAAATTAAGAGCAGAACTGAACTGAATTGAACTGAACTGAGCTGAGCTGAACTGAACTGAACTGAATTTCAACGGAAGAGAACAGGCCCTAATACTCAACAAAATGGAGGTAGTATTAATTATGAGTATAAAATTTGATACTAGAAAACTATATGGATCTTGCTAACGAACACCCTCGGGGTGTTAGATTAACATTTAAAATCTTAAAGTGGTATTAATTTGGGAAAGTATGACGAAATCACGCGTCGATCAGTGTTATTAATGTTAATTTTAATTAATTTTTCTACTTTTAACTATCTTATCCAACGCCCCCGGAGCATTCGTTAGTATTTTCTAAATTATATATTGCAATGATAGCATTTATTACATGACTGTGTTTACTGTGTATGAATATGAAACACCACAGAAACCGGTAAAAAAATGAGTTTGTGAATAGTGTTACAATCAAATTTAAATTTTACTAACCTCATAACATTTGTAAAAAATGATTTTGTAAAATAGTGTTACACAAAGTTTTAGGAGAATTAAGGTGGGGACCAAATGGGAAATTTTATATATAAAGTGTATTTTTTTAGGAAAATGCTATACATAGTCTTATAAGCATTAAATTTACGCTTCAAAATCGTAAAAAGTTAAGAAATCATAAAAATATAAACGCTAATAACACTGATTTACGTGTGTTTTTGTCATGAATTCGTAACTTTATACAATTTTCAAAAATGTATTTATGCTTATATATAGCCCTTAGGGCTACATATAGCATTACTCATTTTTTTATAGGAATAATATAAAGTGTATTTAGTGTTGATATATTTAATTGTAAATTGGAGAGAGAAATAATAATAATAATAATAATAATAATAATAATAATAATAATAATAATAATAATAATAATAATAATAATAATAATAATAATAATAATAAAAGTGTTAGTGGGGTTAGTAAGAAGAGATGGTTATATACACCCGAGTGCACCGTACACCTATGAGTATTTTATTCTCATTTTGATGATTATTGTCCATTAATCATCAATAAAGAGCAAGCACTAACCTTGGGTTAGTTTTGTACACGGTACACTCGGGTGTATATAACAAATTCTAATTAATAGAAGGAAGAAATAATAAATATTAGTAAGCCCTTATCAAATTCCAAAAGTTTAAGCTGATGGTTAAGGACCAGAAATATGTTTTATACTCTAGGATGGACATTCACTTCGTTCGTGAGAAAATTCAACGGGGCGAAGTTTGTGTTCTACATGTACCTTCCCCATACCAGATTGCATACATTTTCACGAAGGGTTTGCCTAAGGTTTTATTGATGATTTTCGGGACAGTCTCAACGTTTGCGGTCCTCCCGTTTCGACTGCGGGGGTGTGTTAAATTATGTAAATAGTCTAGTATATAATTAGTTTGTAATTACTAATGTAGCTTTAACCCTAACCCTAGTGTACGCTTGCATTATATATTGATGTTTAATCAATGAGAAAAATACAACAAATATTCTCTCAGACACACAGTTTAGGAAAATTATAAGTGGATGTGGATCCATTTAAAATATTTGTTTATAGTATAAATAATTCTCTTCTGTATTTTTATATTGCAAGAAAACAAGTGAGGGGGTGTAGGGGACTTGGGGGTAGTGAGGGGAGAGAAAATGTGGGATTTAATTGGATTTTGAGTAAGGGTAGTGTTATTTTATTGTTTTACAAAAACTTGTGGGTCGAAAGTGAGTATTGTAAAATATTTTTTATTAGTACTCTCACTTCATATTACCTTTGTTTTTTTTAGTTGACAATTTTTTACTTTAGTATTATTCACTCACTCCCTTTTGATCGTGTTCTGTGCTTTATACGTAATAAAAATATAGTCACGTGGGATCTTGTTAGATTTATCGCGACATATATTTGCAGAATATCAACTTTTTATAATTTTTTTTATCGGTAATTTAAGATATTAATGGTTGAAATTGTGCTTGGCAAACATGACTATAATGTGTCAGTTAAAAAGAAACGGAAGAAGTATTTAGTAACGTATCAAGTATTTTGGGACGGACGAAAATGAGAACTGTATCAATTATTTTGTGACGGAGGGAGTAGGAAAGTGTTGCCATTATTTTGAAACGGATGAAAAAAAAATTGTTGTGATTATTATGAAATGGTGGGAGTGTGTAATTGTCATAAATTTTTTCAATAATGAAATTAAAGATATTAAGCAATTAAAAAAAACCTTTATATAATATGATAAAGGATGTTAGAACTTATTTATTCTAATCGGATATGATAAGTAAAAATAGGGTGAACTAGGTTTGTTTTGTTCAGCTTAATTTCAATTCTGTTCAGTTTAGTTCAGATCCAATCAATTCAGATAAGTTCAATTTTAAATTTCCTTCTCTCATAAACAATTCATTTCAGCTCTATTCAGTTTAGTTTAGTTCAGTTCATTTTAGCCCTAATCAGTTCAGTTGTATGTGATAAATCGTAACAAACCCTAAAAATAACCAAAGTATTTGGGTGATATATAAAAGGAAAAATTGCCCGGAATAATCCCACCTTTGGGCCGTCCGCCCAAAATAATCTCACCTTTGGATTATTTTTTAATAATCCGACCTTTAATAACAATCTTCTTTAAATGGTCCCAGGTGACTTGTAACCGGTTGAGTAGGTATTTTTTTTTAAAGTTTAATTTACACTTGTCGTCACTTGATTGGTTTAAAATAAAAAATAAAAAGAGAAAATTTAATTAAAAAAATAAAACACCACCACCACCTACCTTAGCCACGCCACATCAGCCACCACCACCAACCAAACCCAAAACCTGGAACTACCATCTCAGACAAACCTAAAACCACTGCCACCTGACCGCACCGACCAGAATCCCACCACAGCCAACCCAACCTCAAACCACCTTCGAAAAATCGATTCCCCGTAAACCAAGACCATTCGAAAACCACCAAACCAAATCTCAGGAAACGGTTGGTGTTTTGGGTAATTTTACCCCGCCACGTGGTCCAATCAGAGGATGACACGTGTCAGCCTCAGGATGGCCCAAAGTGGACCAATCCCTACTTGACACGTGTCACTCCAGAAATTAAGGGAAAAAGGCGGCCTTCGGGCCCAAATCCCGAGAAAGCCGCAAAGCGGCGCAGCCCACCAATGATTAGGTTTCAGTGACCTAATCAGGGGCACAAATCCAAAAGACCCTATAAATAGGGAGATGTCCCTCTTTTTGAGGGCACGTTTTACCATTTATTACACACTTGACTCTTTGATAGAGACATCCTGAGATTGGAATCCGAGCAGATACCCACCTAAATTTTCGCACCTTTTTTCTCCCTTCAAGTTTCTAACTTGTGCGTCGGAGGCGGAGCACCACCCAACTGGTGTCTCCGTTTGTTTTTCAAGTACAGCTCACTCCGGATCAGTCTTCGTGTTGTAACTCTCCCGAGGGACAAAAACACCCAAAACATTTGGCACCGTCTGTGGGGAGAG